CTCACCTGTCTCCTCTCACCCCTCTCACTTGTCTGTCTTTCACCTGTCTCCCTCTCACCTGTCTCCTCTCACCTGTCTCCTCTCACCTGTCTCCTCTCACCTGTCTCTCACCTGTCTGTCTCTCACCTGTCTCCTCTCACCCCTCTCACTTGTCTGTCTTTCACCTGTCTCCCTCTCACCTGTCTCCTCTCACCTGTCTCTCACCTGTCTCCTCTCACCTGTCTTTCACCTGTCTCCCTCTCACCTGTCTCCTCTCACCTGTCTCTCACCTGTCTGTCTCTCACCTGTCTCCTCTCACCTGTCTTTCACCTGTCTCCCTCTCACCTGTCTCCTCTCACCTGTCTCTCACCTGTCTCCCTCTCACCTGTCTCCTCTCACCTGTCTCTCACCTGTCTGTCTCTCACCTGTCTCCTCTCACCTGTCTGTCTCTCACCTGTCTGTCTCTCAGGTGAGTTGTCAGTGGTGGAGCTGAAGAGGAGCTCCATGATGCAGCGCTTCTCTGACTGGATGCCGTCAGCCATGAGGGGGGATCAGGGCGGGGGGGGCGCCCTGAGCCTGGCCGTCAGAGAGGTCGAAGACAACTGCTTCCTGTTCGCTTTGAGTCAAGATCTGAGGCTGCGGCTGTGGAGCTTCAGGGTCAGAACTAAGTCTAAGTCTCAGTCTCCGTCTAACTAAGTCTCTGACTAAGTCTCAGTCTAAGTCTCAGTCTAACTAAGTCTCAGTCTGACTAAGTCTCAGTCTGACTAAGTCTCAGTCTAACTAAGTCTCAGTCTAACTAAGTCAGTCTCAGTCTGACTAAGTCTCTGTCTAACTAAGTCAGTCTCAGTCTGACTAAGTCTCTGTCTAACTAAGTCAGTCTCAGTCTGACTAAGTCAGTCTCAGTCTGACTAAGTCTCAGTCTAACTAGATCTCAGTCTAACTAAGTCTCAGTCTAACTAAGTCAGTCTCAGTCTGACTAATGGCACATTTCCACTACACGGTCGGCCTCGGCCACGCTCGGTACGGCTCGGTACGGCTTGGCCTTAACAGGGCCGACTCACCTCATGCTGCGCTTCCATTACAGTTTAGGAACTGGGGTAGTTACTATAGTAACGCAGTGTAGGCGGAGCGGTGACGTCATCTTCAATGAGAACTCCAGAAACACAACACAGCCGTTAGCTGTTAGCACTCAGAGCTCACAGCTCCTCATATCTGTTCAGAAACTAGACAAAAGTTAAACAAGTACAAACCACAGACTGCCTGTGTCATGGTGAATACAGTCGCTGCTTTATTTATGTCTGTATAGGCCGTTGTTGTGAGTGTGGACGGTCGGAGCATATACTGCGTTAGCTTAGCCAATCTCCACCTAGAAAAACACGCATTTTAAAAGGTTTTTCGCCTGCCGTCTGTCTGCAGACTTGACAAAGCATTAATTCATGGTTTTTACTAACCGGTATCAGTATGTTGTTACTTCATCATTTTGAAACGTGTATTACAATTAAATCACGGTCAAATATGTCCATCTTGTTGTAGTTCTAGCCCTCTTGCCAGCGATGCTCTCTCTAGTTTAGCATACTCAGCCCGACTCAGCCCTGTTTGTTGGCCTCGATAGAACCACAATTTTCTCGGGCCAGAAAAGACGTGAAAAAGTGGCCCCGGGCCGGGCCGGGCCGGAACTAGGCCTAGTGGAAGTGCAACCAAAAACGTGCACGGCACGACACGGCACGCTTAAAGCGAGCTCCGCGCTGTAGTGGAACTGCGCCATAAGTCTCTGTCTAACTAAGTCTCAGTCTAACTAAGTCAGTCTCAGTCTAACTAAGTCTCAGTCTAACTAAGTCAGTCTCAGTCTGACTAAGTCTCTGTCTAACTAAGTCTCTGTCTAACTAAGTCTCAGTCTAAATAAGTCTCAGTCTGACTAAGTCTCAGTCCAACTAAGTCTCAGTCCAACTAAGTCTCAGTCTGACTAAGTCATAGTCAGTCTCAGTCCAACTAAGTCTCAGTCTGACTAAGTCTCAGTCTGACTAAGTCTCAGTCTGACTAAGTCTCAGTCTAACTAAGTCTCAGTCTGACTAAGTCATAGTCAGTCTCAGTCCAACTAAGTCTCAGTCTAAATAAGTCTCAGTCCGACTAAGTCTCAGTCCAACTAAGTCTCAGTCCAACTAAGTCTCAGTCTGACTAAGTCATAGTCAGTCTCAGTCCAACTAAGTCTCAGTCTGACTAAGTCTCAGTCTGACTAAGTCTCAGTCTAACTAAGTCTCAGTCTAACTAAGTCATAGTCAGTCTCAGTCCAACTAAGTCTCAGTCTAAATAAGTCTCAGTCTGACTAAGTCTCAGTCTAACTAAGTCTCAGTCTGACTAAGTCTCAGTCTAACTAAGTCATAGTCAGTCTCAGTCTGACTAAGTCTCAGTCTGACTAAGTCTCAGTCTGACTAAGTCATAGTCAGTCTCAGTCCGACTAAGTCTCAGTCTGACTAAGTCTCAGTCTAACTAAGTCTCAGTCTGACTAAGTCATAGTCAGTCTCAGTCCAACTAAGTCTCAGTCTAAATAAGTCTCAGTCCGACTAAGTCTCAGTCCAACTAAGTCTCAGTCCAACTAAGTCTCAGTCTGACTAAGTCATAGTCAGTCTCAGTCCAACTAAGTCTCAGTCTGACTAAGTCTCAGTCTGACTAAGTCTCAGTCTAACTAAGTCTCAGTCTAACTAAGTCATAGTCAGTCTCAGTCCAACTAAGTCTCAGTCTAAATAAGTCTCAGTCTGACTAAGTCTCAGTCTAACTAAGTCTCAGTCTAACTAAGTCATAGTCAGTCTCAGTCCAACTAAGTCTCAGTCTGACTAAGTCTCAGTCTGACTAAGTCATAGTCAGTCTCAGTCCGACTAAGTCTCAGTCTGACTAAGTCTCAGTCTAACTAAGTCTCAGTCTAACTAAGTCATAGTCAGTCTCAGTCCAACTAAGTCTCAGTCTAACTAAGTCTCAGTCTAACTAAGTCATAGTCAGTCTCAGTCCAACTAAGTCTCAGTCTAACTAAGTCTCAGTCTGACTAAGTCATAGTCAGTCTCAGTCCAACTAAGTCTCAGTCTAACTAAGTCTCAGTCTAACTAAGTCATAGTCAGTCTCAGTCCAACTAAGTCTCAGTCTAACTAAGTCTCAGTCTAACTAAGTCTCAGTCTGACTAAGTCATAGTCAGTCTCAGTCCAACTAAGTCTCAGTCTAACTAAGTCATAGTCAGTCTCAGTCCAACTAAGTCTCAGTCTAACTAAGTCTCAGTCTGACTAAGTCATAGTCAGTCTCAGTCCAACTAAGTCTCAGTCTGACTAAGTCATAGTCCAACTAAGTCTCAGTCTGACTAAGTCATAGTCAGTCTCAGTCTAACTAAGTCTCAGTCCAACTAAGTCTCAGTCCAACTAAGTCTCAGTCCAACTAAGTCTCAGTCTGACTAAGTCATAGTCAGTCTCAGTCTAACTAAGTCTCAGTCTGACTAAGTCATAGTCAGACTAAGTCATAGTCAGTCTCAGTCCAACTAAGTCTCAGTCCAACTAAGTCTCAGTCTGACTAAGTCTCAGTCTAAGTCTAACTAACCCTCTACCTGTCCCCCCAGGACCAGGCGTGTGTTCTGGAGGCGGATCTGTTGGAGTACATGCCCTCCTGCAGGGGGGCAAGGTCTCTCCCTGGGCACGGCCACCGCCTCCGGCTGAGCCTCTGCTCCACAGGCCTCTGCCTCGGGGTTTACCTGGCCGTACCTGGCCGAGGACAGTTCACCGTGCTGCAGCTCGTCTCCACCGACAGCAACCGCTACAGCTTGGACCACGTGTCCTCGCTCTTCACCACACAGGTGAGCTCTGTCCCCACACAGGTGAGCCCTGTCCCCCCCACACAGGTGAGCCCTGTCCCCCCCACACAGGTGAGCCCTGTCCCCCCCACACAGGTGAGCCCTGTCCCCCCCCACACAGATGAGCCCTGTCCCCCCCCACACAGGTGAGCCCTGTCCCCCCCACACAGGTGAGCCCTGTCCCCCCCACGCAGATGAGCTCTGTCCCCACTCTGCCCCCCCCCCACACACAGGTGAGCTCTGTCCCCACTCTGCCCCCCCCCCCATACAGGTCAGCTCTGTCCCCCCCATACAGGTGAGCTCTGTCCTCCCCACACAGGTGAGCTCTGTCCCCACACAGATGAGCTCTGTCCCCCCCACACAAGCTCTGTCCCCACACAGGTGAGCCCTGTCCCCCCCACACAGGTGAGCTCTGTCCCCACTCTGCCCCCCCCCCCACACAGGTGCGCTCTATCCCCCCCATACAGGTGAGCTCTGTCCCCCCCACACAGATGAGCTCTGTCCCCACTCAGGTGAGCTCTGTCCCCACTCAGGTGAGCTCTGTCCCCACTCAGGTGAGCTCTGTCCCCACTCAGGTGAGCTCTGTCCCCTTCACAGGAGACTCATGAGGTAAACTGTGTTTCCGTAGGAGACGCTGGTGGACTTCACTCTGACCCCCACAGACGTCTGGGCTGTGTGGGTGGATGAATCAAACGCCACCGTGGTCAAATACATCAACTTTGAGCAGTGAGTTGTAATCCAACAATCAGGTACATTACCTGTGAACAGTAGATTAAAGTGTGTGTGTGTTGCAGCAACTCGGCAGGTCAGTGGAACCAGGTGTTTGTTCAGCCTGCACCTGAAGATGAGGTCCACATCGGAGTGGACCAGGACCCCCGAGTAAGACCTGTTTAAGTCTTCCACTCTGTTTGTGTTATCAAATAAAAACAATATAAGACTTATCAATACTCTGTTCACAGGAGACGTACCTGGAGGTCCTCTTCTCCCCTCTACGCTTCACAGCTTCAGCCATCCTTAAAGCTCTACAGGTGAGAAACACCTGCTGCATGTGCAGGTGAGAAACACCTGCTGCATGTACAGGTGAGAAACACCTGCTGCATGTACAGGTGAGAAACACCTGCTGAATGTACAGGTGAGAAACACCTGCTGCATGTACAGGTGAGAAACACCTGCTGCATGGACAGGTGAGAAACACCTGCTGCATGGACAGGTGAGAAACACCTGCTGCATGTACAGGTGAGAAACACCTGCTGCATGGACAGGTGAGAAACACCTGCTGCATGTACAGGTGAGAAACACCTGGTGTGTGTGTGTGTGTGTGTGTGTGTGTGTGTGTGTGTGTGTGTGTGTGTGTGTGTGTGTGTGTGTGTGTGTGTGTGTGTGTGTGTGTGTGGTGTGTGTGTGTGTGTGTGTGTGTGTGTGTGTGTGTGTGTGTGTGGTGTGTGTGTGTGTGTTGTGTGTGTGTGTGTGTGTGTGTGTGTGTGTGTGTGTGTGTGTGTGTGTGTGTGTTGTGTGTGTGTGTGTGTGTGTGTGTGTGTGTGTGTGTGTGTGTGTGTGTGTGTGTGTGTGTGTGTGTGTGTGTGTGTGTGTGTGTGTGTGTGTGTGTGTGTGTGTGTGTGTGTGTGTGTGTGTGTGTGTGTGTGTGTGTGTGTAGCTCTGTGTGTGTAGCTCTGTGTGTGTAGCTCTGTGTGTGTGTAGCTCTGTGTGTGTGTAGCTCTGTGTGTGTGTGTAGCTCTATGTGTGTGTGTGTGTGTGTACAGCTCTATGTGTGTGTGTGTGTGTGTAGCTCTATGTGTGTGTGTGTGTGTGTACAGCTCTATGTGTGTGTGTGTACAGATCTACAGGTGTGTGTGTACAGCTCTACAGGTGTGTGTGTGTACAGGTGTGTGTGTGTGTGTGTACAGCTTTACAGGTGTGTACAGCTCTACAGGTGATACTTTGTGTTTCCAGATCTTCCGCAGAGGCTCGGACAGAGACCGTACCTCGGACGTGTCCTGGGAGAGTCTGAAGAAGGAAGTGACGGTGGCCGTGGAGAGTGAGGTGGGTCATCACAGTAACAAACAGCTGTTCCTGACTGACTCTGGTCCTGGTCCTGACGCTGGTCCTGACGCTGGTCTTGCTCCTGGTCCTGACGCTGGTCCTGCTCCTGGTCCTGACGCTGGTCCTGCTCCTGGTCCTGGTCTCTAACCCTTGTGTTCCCTCTCACAGCTCCAGAGCAGTGTGACGGAGTTTGAGTTCTCTCAGGAGGAGTACCGGCAGCTGCAGGTGGAGTTCTGGTCCAAGTTCTACGCCTGCTGTCTTCAGTACCAGGAGGCTCTGTCCCTGCCTCTGGGCCTCAGCATCAGCCCCGGCACCGGCATGGCCCTGCTGCTAAAGAAGGTCTCACTATACCCTCTATACATCCCACTGTACCCACTATACATCCCACTGTACATCCCACTGTACATCATGTTATCATCCCACTATACCCACTATACCTCCCACTCAGAGGTCGCGTTAACCGAATATTTTCCGTCTATGATGGATTGTTTTTAACAATGACGGAAAAATCTGAAAGCAGTCCGTCATTTTGACAGATTAGAACAAACTCAGAACAGCGCCTGCTCCCGCGAGGTGCAGTGGGCATGCATACACGGCATAACACCAGTGCTAACAGTTCACAGAGCGTGCTCCCCCAGTACGGGAGGTGTAGAGCGAGGGGTCATTGGCCACTAGTTAATCCATCAGGTACGGGAGGTGTAGAGCGAGGGGTCACTGTCCACTAGTTAATCCATCAGGTACGGGAGGTGTAGAGCGAGGGATCATTGTCCACTAGTTAATCCATCAGGTACAGGAGGTGTAGAGCGAGGGATCATTGTCCACTAGTTAATCCATCAGGTACAGGAGGTGTAGAGCGAGGGGTCATTGTCCACTAGTTAATCCATCAGGTACAGGAGGTGTAGAGCGAGGGATCATTGTCCACTAGTTAATCCATCAGGTACAGGAGGTGTAGAGCGAGGGATCACTGTCCACTAGTTAATCCATCAGGTACAGGAGGTGTAGAGCGAGGGGTCACTGTCCACTAGTTAATCCATCAGGTACGGGAGGTGTAGAGCGAGGGATCATTGTCCACTAGTTAATCCATCAGGTACGGGAGGTGTAGAGCGAGGGATCACTGTCCACTAGTTAATCCATCAGGTACAGGAGGTGTAGAGCGAGGGGTCACTGTCCACTAGTTAATCCATCAGGTACGGGAGGTGTAGAGCGAGGGATCATTGTCCACTAGTTAATCCATCAGGTACGGGAGGTGTAGAGCGAGGGGTCACTGTCCACTAGTTAATCCATCAGGTACGGGAGGTGTAGAGCGAGGGGTCACTGTCCACTAGTTAATCCATCAGGTACGGGAGGTGTAGAGCGAGGGATCACTGTCCACTAGTTAATCCATCAGGTACGGGAGGTGTAGAGCGAGCGGTCATTGTCCACTAGTTAATCCATCAGGTACGGGAGGTGTAGAGCGAGGGGTCACTGTCCACTAGTTAATCCATCAGGTACGGGAGGTGTAGAGCGAGGGATCATTGTCCACTAGTTAATCCATCAGGTACGGGAGGTGTAGAGCGAGGGGTCATTGTCCACTAGTTAATCCATCAGGTACGGGAGGTGTAGAGCGAGGGGTCACTGGCCACTAGTTAATCCATCAGGTACGGGAGGTGTAGAGCGAGGGGTCACTGTCCACTAGTTAATCCATCAGGTACGGGAGGTGTAGAGCGAGGGATCATTGTCCACTAGTTAATCCATCAGGTACAGGAGGTGTAGAGCGAGGGATCATTGTCCACTAGTTAATCCATCAGGTACAGGAGGTGTAGAGCGAGGGGTCATTGTCCACTAGTTAATCCATCAGGTACAGGAGGTGTAGAGCGAGGGATCATTGTCCACTAGTTAATCCATCAGGTACAGGAGGTGTAGAGCGAGGGATCACTGTCCACTAGTTAATCCATCAGGTACAGGAGGTGTAGAGCGAGGGGTCACTGTCCACTAGTTAATCCATCAGGTACGGGAGGTGTAGAGCGAGGGATCATTGTCCACTAGTTAATCCATCAGGTACGGGAGGTGTAGAGCGAGGGATCACTGTCCACTAGTTAATCCATCAGGTACAGGAGGTGTAGAGCGAGGGGTCACTGTCCACTAGTTAATCCATCAGGTACGGGAGGTGTAGAGCGAGGGATCATTGTCCACTAGTTAATCCATCAGGTACGGGAGGTGTAGAGCGAGGGGTCACTGTCCACTAGTTAATCCATCAGGTACGGGAGGTGTAGAGCGAGGGGTCATTGTCCACTAGTTAATCCATCAGGTACGGGAGGTGTAGAGCGAGGGATCACTGTCCACTAGTTAATCCATCAGGTACGGGAGGTGTAGAGCGAGCGGTCATTGTCCACTAGTTAATCCATCAGGTACGGGAGGTGTAGAGCGAGGGGTCACTGTCCACTAGTTAATCCATCAGGTACGGGAGGTGTAGAGCGAGGGATCATTGTCCACTAGTTAATCCATCAGGTACGGGAGGTGTAGAGCGAGGGGTCATTGTCCACTAGTTAATCCATCAGGTACGGGAGGTGTAGAGCGAGGGATCACTGTCCACTAGTTAATCCATCAGGTACGGGAGGTGTAGAGCGAGGGGTCATTGTCCACTAGTTAATCCATCAGGTACGGGAGGTGTAGAGCAAGGGATCACTGTCCACTAGTTAATCCATCAGGTACAGGAGGTGTAGAGCGAGGGGTCATTGTCCACTAGTTAATCCATCAGGTACGGGAGGTGTAGAGCGATAGGTCACTGTCCACTAGTTAATCCATCAGGTACAGGAGGTGTAGAGCGAGAGGTCACTGTCCACTAGTTAATCCATCAGGTACAGGAGGTGTAGAGCGAGGGGTCATTGTCCACTAGTTAATCCATCAGGTACAGGAGGTGTAGAGCGAGGGGTCACTGTCCACTAGTTAATCCATCAGGTACAGGAGGTGTAGAGCGAGGGGTCACTGTCCACTAGTTAATCCATCAGGTACAGGAGGTGTAGAGCGAGGGGTCATTGTCCACTAGTTAATCCATCAGGTACGGGAGGTGTAGAGCGAGGGGTCACTGTCCACTAGTTAATCCATCAGGTACGGGAGGTGTAGAGCGAGGGATCACTGTCCACTAGTTAATCCATCAGGTACGGGAGGTGTAGAGCGAGGGGTCACTGTCCACTAGTTAATCCATCAGGTACGGGAGGTGTAGAGCGAGGGGTCATTGTCCACTAGTTAATCCATCAGGTACAGGAGGTGTAGAGCGAGGGGTCATTGTCCACTAGTTAATCCATCAGGTACAGGAGGTGTAGAGCGAGGGGTCACTGTCCACTAGTTAATCCATCAGGTACAGGAGGTGTAGAGCGAGGGATCACTGTCCACTAGTTAATCCATCAGGTACAGGAGGTGTAGAGCGAGGGATCATTGTCCACTAGTTCAGTGGTTCTCAACTGGTCAGGCCTCGGGACCCACTTTTTACTTGGTCAATACATCGCGACCCAACATTTTGAAGCACTCAAATCTATTCAACAAAAAATCGTGCTGTAATATATATATACGCTTTTCAGCATACAATATTAATAAAAGTGAAGTACAGTGCATACATCCCTTATATCCCTTCACCGAACTAAAGTATGCTTTGTAAAGTATGCCCCCATTGTTCTGTGACCTGTCAATCATCAAACCGGGGGTCATATTTCATTATGTGTTCATTTGTATCTGAAGTTGTACCCATGGATGTATAAAGAAGAGTTCTACCGCAAAGTTATTCTCCGTGGGGACTTCCGGCAACCATCTTGATTCTGATTGGCCAGAAGACTCGAAAAAACATCAGCAAAGATGTTTTATTGAGAAGATGATCACTACGTGACAGAAGTTTTCAAAACCGTTTATGGTCGCCGGTACTTCCAGTCCAACGCCGACTGCATGCACAGCGTTAGCGGGCCTTCAAAATAAGTTTGACTTTTTCCCCAAAAAAAAAAAAAGAAAACAATTCAAATTTTTCACTCACACATCCGCGACCCACTCGAAACGGGTCCGCGACCCACTCGAAACGGGTCTGCGACCCACTCGAAACGGGTCCAAAGACCCACTCGAAACGGGTCCAAAGACCCACTCGAAACGGGTCCGCGACCCACCAGTTGAGAACCACTGCAGTAGTTAATCCATCAGGTACAGGTGGATTAACTAGTGGACAATGATCCCTCGCTCTACGCCTCCTGTACCTGTTCGCTCTGCTATCGCGTGAAGGGTCTGCTAACAAGCGACCAACAGAAAGGGAGACCTTACGAGAAACAGAGAAGAAGACGTAAACATCGTTTTTTTCAGAGCAGTGTGTTTTGTTCACATGTTGTTGAAACTGTGTTTCAGGTTTACACTACAGTCTGTGTTTCAGGTTTAAACTACAGTCTGTGTTTCAGGTTTAAACTACAGTCTGTGTTCAGGTTTAAACTACAGTCTGTGTTCAGGTTTAAACTACTGTCTGTGTTCAGGTTTAAACTACAGTCTGTGTTTCAGGTTTAAACTACAGTCTGTGTTTCAGGTTTAAACTACAGTCTGTGTTTCAGGTTTAAACTACAGTCTGTGTTTCAGGTTTAAACTACTGTCTGTGTTCAGGTTTAAACTACAGTCTGTGTTCAGGTTTAAACTACAGTCTGTGTTTCAGGTTTAAACTACAGTCTGTGTTTCAGGTTTAAACTACAGTCTGTGTTCAGGTTTAAACTACAGTCTGTGTTCAGGTTTAAACTACAGTCTGTGTTTCAGGTTTAAACTACAGTCTGTGTTTCAGGTTTAAACTACAGTCTGTGTTTCAGGTTTAAACTACAGTCTGTGTTCAGGTTAAACTACAGTCTGTGTTCAGGTTTAAACTACAGTCTGTGTTTCAGGTTTAAACTACAGTCTGTGTTCAGGTTTAAACTACAGTCTGTGTTCAGGTTTAAACTACAGTCTGTGTTTCAGGTTTAAACTACAGTCTGTGTTTCAGGTTTAAACTTTAGTCTGTGTTTCAGGTTTAAACTTTAGTCTGTGTTTCAGGTTTAAACTTTAGTCTGTGTTTCAGGTTTAAACTTTAGTCTGTGTTTCAGGTTTAAACTTTAGTCTGTGTTTCAGGTTTAAACTTTAGTCTGTGTTTCAGGTTTAAACTTTAGTCTGTGTTTCAGGTTTAAACTTTAGTCTGTGTTTCAGGTTTAAACTTTAGTCTGTGTTTCAGGTTTAAACTTTAGACTGTGTTTCAGGTTTAAACTTTAGTCTGTGTTTCAGGTTTAAACTACAGTCTGTGTTTCAGGTTTAAACTTTAGTCTGTGTTTCAGGTTTAAACTTTAGTCTGTGTTTCAGGTTTAAACTTTAGTCTGTGTTTCAGGTTTAAACTACAGTCTGTGTTTCAGGTTTAAACTACAGTCTGTGTTCAGGTTTAAACTACAGTCTGTGTTTCAGGTTTAAACTACAGTCTGTGTTTCAGGTTTAAACTACAGTCTGTGTTCAGGTTTAAACTACAGTCTGTGTTTCAGGTTTAAACTTTAGTCTGTGTTTCAGGTTTAAACTACAGTCTGTGTTTCAGGTTTAAACTTTAGTCTGTGTTTCAGGTTTAAACTTTAGTCTGTGTTTCAGGTTTAAACTTTAGTCTGTGTTTCAGGTTTAAACTTTAGTCTGTGTTTCAGGTTTAAACTTTAGTCTGTGTTTCAGGTTTAAACTACAGTCTGTGTTTCAGGTTTAAACTTTAGTCTGTGTTTCAGGTTTAAACTTTAGTCTGTGTTTCAGGTTTAAACTTTAGACTGTGTTTCAGGTTTAAACTTTAGTCTGTGTTTCAGGTTTAAACTACAGTCTGTGTTTCAGGTTTAAACTTTAGTCTGTGTTTCAGGTTTAAACTTTAGTCTGTGTTTCAGGTTTAAACTTTAGTCTGTGTTTCAGGGCTTCGTGTCGTTCCTCCTGCCATGTTTTGCTGTGGATCACCTGTACCTGTCCTACGATGAGTACCTGTCTTCAGAGGAGGAGACGCCCATCGCTGAAGGTGAGTTCACCTCCACTCTGTGGTTACATGACTGAACTTTACCACGCTAAGCTAAAGGCGGCTAATGTTCAGATAATAACTATATATGTATTTTTATATTCATATAGATCCAGAGCTGGGGAAGGACGTGCTGCAGCTGGTTCAGTGTCTGCGCCTCGTCAGCAATGCAGTTTCTGTGGAGATGGCCTATGAGATGGAGAAAGCTCTGGAACACCTTCAGTCACCGGAGAGGGCAGCAGACCTGGTGCTGGAGAGCCTGCTGTCCAACGACAGGTACTCATAATATAATAATACATATCATATTTGTACAGCGACCTTGAGAGCCTTGAAAGGCGCCTATATAAAATAAATGAATTATTATTATTATTATTATTATATATATATATAGACAGGTTTTGACCTCCATACGAGGAGCCATTTACTCTGACGACATAAATACAAATGTTTGTGTGCTAATTTATATTATTATTATATGATATGTACCTGTCCAACGACAGGTATATATAATATAATACAATAATAATACTCACAAGCAATCATATAATACTCAGGCTGTCCAACGACAGGTACTCATTTAAAGTGGACCTATCATGCTATATGTAAATGATATATTGTAGGGCCATACCTATATAAGGTATATTTATACGTTTCTGTTTTCAAAATACCAAACAGATCATAATTTTAGCCATGCCTCATTTCGCTCTATGTGCTGTTTGCTGTCTACGGGTCTGATTCTGCTGACCACGCCCCCCTGCAGGAGAGGGGAGACGTGCTCTGATCAGCTGCTGGGCTGTCAGAAGAGGGGGAGAAAAAGAGATCTCCGTCCTCCGTGTTTTATTATATAGAGTCGTTATTCATTTGTTTTAAAGCTCAATAAATAACAAAGAAAACCTTTGACCGGCACTTTTCTAATTTTGTCCGGAAGATTTAAACTTTAACGGACATCTTGACCGGCGAAAGAAACTGAAACTGAAACTCTGCCGCACGGTCCCCTGGTTCCTTGGAAGAGGCGGAGAGGTGGGTGTTTGTCATCTGCTGGTGGACTAACCGGAGAGAATTACAGTGCTTGCCTCGACGGGGAGGGATTGCATTGAATTAAAGCAGCGGGAGCAAACGCTTGCCTCGGGGAGGGAGAAAGAAAGCCACAGCGGAGAATAAACAGAAGGGTAACCATGGTAACTATGGGCGGGAAGTCCTCTTCGCTGCTTTTGTGGCAGACTACAGCGCCACTTACAGGCCTGGCATATGTACTACAGCGTCTCCAGCGCTTTCGAGCGGCAATGGCCGGCCGTGGCCCAACCCCACATTCCCCTGATAGGTGGAGAGTTGGCCCAATAGCCGTAGCGCCACCGTCCTGACGTCAGGACAGTGTTCAAATCTGGATCAGTTTTTATCAGATCCATTGCAGCCCCTTTTTTAGAGATTTGGGTATGGAGGAAAATAGAGAGGGTTGTGTTTTCTGACACTTGGTGAGTTCCCCGGAACACCGGGGACACATATTCATGTAGAAAAGACGTACAAAAGTGCATTTTGCATGATAGGTCCCCTTTAATACATATATATACATACTGCTGTTATAATACTCAGGCTGTCCCACGTTTGTTGTAAATAAAGCTTAAAGATTAAAGTGTTTATTGTGCAGTGAAAACGTGATGGAGGACATCCAGAACAAACTGCAGGACGTCAGGAACCCTGCGGCGGCCATGACGGTTCTTCTGAGGGAGCTGGACCTGGAGACGGACTCTGAGAGCCTGATCTCTGTCTCTCAGGAAACACAAGGTGAGTTTGTTGCCCTGATCTCTGTCTCTCAGGAAACACAAGGTGAGTTTGTTGCCCTGATCTCTGTCTCTCAGGAAACACAAGGTGAGTTTGTTGCCCTGATCTCTGTCTCTCAGGAAACACAAGGTGAGTTTGTTGCCCTGATCTCTGTCTCTCAGGAAACACAAGGTGAGTTTGTTGCCCTGATCTCTGTCTCTCAGGATACACAAGGTGAGGGTTTGTTGCCCTGCAGGTTCTGAATGTGTGTTTGTTGCCCTGCTCTGTGCCTGGCAGGTTCTGAAAGTGTGTTTGATGCCCTGCTCTGTGACTGGCAGGTTCTGAAAGTGTGTTTGATGCCCTGCTCTGTGACTGGCAGGTTCTGAAAGTGTGTTTGATACCCTGCTCTGTGACTGGCAGGTTCTGAAAGTGTGTTTGATGCCCTGCTCTGTGACTGACAGGTTCTGAAAGTGTGTTTGATGCCCTGCTCTGTGACTGGCAGGTTCTGAAAGTGTGTTTGATGCCCTGCTCTATGACTGGCAGGTTCTGAAAGTGTGTTGATGCCCTGCTCTGTGTCTTGCAGGCCAGCCTCTGGGTGTGAGGATCAGCCTGTCTCAGCTGTATGGAAGCAGCTCGGCTGTGTCCATCGTCTGTCAGGCCGTCTGTCACATGACCATGACCCGAGCGCTGTTCTGCAGAGACCTGCTGATCCTGCAGAAACTCTACCTGCGCCTTGGAGACAATGTGCGTACACACACACACACACACACACACACACACACACACACACACACACTCAACCACACACACATACTTTAATAACTTCCCCATATATCAATAATAATCATGTTCAATCTATAAATAAATCGTGTGTGTGTACTGATGATCAATGGTTGAACGTTAGCGCCCTCCGCTGGAGTCCGAGTTTCCTCAATCACTGATCCTTAGACACGTCAGTTTTAATAAGTGTGTGTGTGTGTGTGTGTGTGTGTCAGGTGTTCCTGGGTGGGGGGGCTCAGTTGCTGCAGCTTCAGCAGGATCTGATCCCTCGAAGCTCGAACCTCCTCTCCTCCTATCACCTCCTCAAACACATCAGCCAGAGCATGGCCTCCTCTGTGGCGCTGGACATTATGTGAGTGCACACACACAAAATAATACAAATCAATAAATGACTTGTTATTTGAATCCTATACATTGCTAAAGTAATGAAATGTATTTAAAGGCTCAATAAAATATGTTGTGGTCCTGCAGAGAAGCCAACCTGCAGCACCTGACCGTGTTGGAGCTGTCCGACTCGCCGAGCCTCAGCAACGCATCAGGTAACGGCGGTGCCCGGCACGTTGTAGCGGGAGTGTGAGGTAACGGCGGTGCCTGGCGCGTTTTGGCGTGTGTGTATTGTGTGTTTATGAGGTAATGACAGTGCCTGACCTGTTGTATAGTGTTGTATGAGGTAATGACAGTGCCTGACGTGTTGTAGTGTATGTATGAGGTAATGACAGTGCCTGACGTGTTGTAGTGTGTTGTATGAGGTAATGACAGTGCCTGACGTGTTGTAGTGTATGTATGAGGTAATGACAGTGCCTGACGTGTTGTTGTGTCTGTATGAGGTAATGACAGTGCCTGACGTGTTGTAGTGTGTTAGTATGAGGTAATGACAGTGCCTGACGTGTTGTAGTGTGTTAGTATGAGGTAATGACAGTGCCTGACGTGTTGTAGTGTCTGTATGAGGTAATGACAGTGCCTGACGTGTTGTAGTGTGTGTCTGTATGAGGAAATGACAGTGCCTGACGTGTTGTAGTGTGTGTCTGTATGAGGAAATGACAGTGCCTGACGTGTTGTAGTGTGTGTCTGTATGAGGTAATGACAGTGCCTGACGTGCTGGTGTGTGTCTGTATGAGGTAATGACAGTGCCTGACGTGTTGTTGTGTCTGTATGAGGTAATGACAGTGCCTGACGTGTTGTAGTGTGTTAGTATGAGGTAATGACAGTGCCTGACGTGTTGTAGTGTGTTAGTATGAGGTAATGACAGTGCCTGACGTGTTGTAGTGTCTGTATGAGGTAATGACAGTGCCTGACGTGTTGTAGTGTGTTAGTATGAGGTAATGACAGTGCCTGACGTGTTGTAGTGTGTGTCTGTATGAGGTAATGACAGTGCCTGACGTGCTGTAGTGTGTGTCTGTATGAGGTAATGACAGTGCCTGACGTGTTGTAGTGTGTGAGTATGAGGTAATGACAGTGCCTGACGTGTTGTAGTGTGTGTCTGTATGAGGTAATAACAGTGTCTGACGTGTTGTAGTGTGTGTCTGTATGAGGTAATAACAGTGTCTGACCTGTTGTATAGTTTGTGTGTATGAGGTAATGACATTACCTTCTCTGCCCAGTTCTGAGCCCTCAGACGGTGGTGGAGCTCTTCTACCAGACGGTCGGCAGGAAGATAATCGTCTCCCAGATTTACTCGCAGCAGAGCAGCTCCATGCTCGTCTGGAGTCACATGATCTCCAACGTGGTCGTCCTGCTCGCTCAGCTGCTGTATCCTTTATCAACTCCCTTCATATGTGAAGTATTTAATATAATATTCACTGGGTCACTTTTTGTTTGTTGTTGAATCTTAACGGCTGTCTCTCAGTTGGCCCAGTAACCCTGGTTTCCAGTTCCCAGAGTGTCTGATGGCAAACTGTCAGTACACACAGCTGCAGGTGGGTTTATCATTATCATCATCATTATTATTACTATTATTTTTATTTAAACACTGACCTCACCTTTGTCCCCTGTCTGCAGGAGTACGTCCGTCTGATTGGTCCGTGGTGTCAGGTGAACATCGGCTCGTGTCGCTTCGTGCTGGGTCAGTGTTACCTGGCCAACGGGGAGGGGCAGAAGGTGAGTCACCTGAGGATGTTTAGAGGCGTTTAGAGGCGTTGAGAGACAATGATCTGCAGAGGAATAAAACGTGTCCTCTGTGTGCAGGCGCTGCAATGCTTCCAGGAAGCAGCCACCGAGGTGGAGAAGGAGGACTTCCTGTTGAGACTCACGGGCGGCGAGGAGGAGGACGCCCCCCCCCGCCTGCAGTATTACAACAAGGTACAGCAAGTCCTGCAAGTCCCTACAGTTTTGACCCCAGGCAGTACTACCACCAGGTACACAGGGTACTGCAGTACTACTACCAGGTACACAGGGTACTGCAGTACTACCACCAGGTACACAGGGTACTGCAGTACTACCACCAGGTACACAGGGTACTGCAGTACTACCACCAGGTACACAGGGTACTGCAGTACTACCACCACCAGGTACACAGGGTACTGCAGTACTACCACCAAGTACACAGGGTACTGCAGTACTACCACCAAGTACACAGGGTACTGCAGTACTACCACCAGGTACACAGGGTACTGCAGTACTACCACCAGGTACACAGGGTACTGCAGTACTACCACCAGGTACACAGGGTACTGCAACCAGGTACACAGGGTACTGCAGTACTACTACGAGGTACACAGGGTACTGCAGTACTACTACGAGGTACACAGGGTACTGCAGTACTGAGTAATATATTAAATATCTGCAGGTGCTGCGCCTCCTGGAGGACGTGGGTCTGCCGGAGCTCGTCATCCAGCTGTCGTCTCTCGCCATCACAGAGGCCGGCAGCGACGCCCACAGCCAGGTGACCTTCATTAAACTACACCTTCATCATCATCAAACTACACCTTCATCATCATCAAACTACACCTTCATTATTACCATGTTATTATCACTACACTGCACCATCGTTACCTGTTGTTACCATCATTAGTGTGTGTGTGTGTGTGTGTGTGTGTGTGTGTGTGTGTGTGTGTGTGTGTGTGTGTGTGTGTGTGTGTGTGTGTGTGTGTGTGTGTGTGTGTGTGTGTGTGTGTGTGTGTGTGTGTGTGTGTGTGTGTGTGTGTGTGTGTGTGTGTGTGTGTGTGTGTGTGTGTGTGTGTGTGTAGGCGGCGCTGTGGACCAGGATCTTCAAGCATCACCTGGACCTGGGTCACAACAGCGAGGCGTACGAGGCGCTGACGCAGAACCCCGACAGCAGCATGTGAGATCACACATTCATGCTGTATTTATTTATACATGACATTTATTTAAATGTGTGTATGCCTGGGGTCCAAACTGTTTTCAAATGCAAATATAAAGGGTCTGTTATAATAAGGGGAATATGTTTAAACTTGTTCTGTCTACGGTATATCGTCATTAGAGTATAAAGGTGTGTCTACGGTATATCGTCATTAGAGTATAAAGGTGTGTCTACGGTATATCGTCATTAGCGTATAAAGGTGCGTCTACGGTATGTCGTCATTAGAGTATAAAGGTGCGTCTACGGTATGTCGTCATTAGAGTATAAAGGTGCGTCTACGGTATGTCGTCATTAGAGTATAAATGTGCGTCTACGGTATGTCGTCATTAGAGTATAAAGGTGCGTCTACGGTATGTCGTCATTAGAGTATAAAGGTGCGTCTACGGTATGTCGTCATTAGAGTATAAAGGTGCGTCTACGGTATGTCGTCATTAGAGTATAAAGGTGCGTTCTACGGTATGTCGTCATTAGAGTATAAAGGTGCGTCTACGGTATGTCGTCATTAGAGTATAAAGGTGCGTCTACGGTATGTCGTCATTAGAGTATAAAGGTGCGTCTACGGTATGTCGTCATTAGAGTATAAAGGTGCGTCTACGGTATATCGTCATTAGAGTATAAAGGTGCGTCTACGGTATGTCGTCATTAGAGTATAAAGGTGCGTCTACGGTATATCGTCATTAGAGTATAAAGGTGCGTCTACGGTATGTCGTCATTAGAGTATAAAGGTGCGTCTACGGTATGTCGTCATTAGAGTATAAAGGTGCGTCTACGGTATGTCGTCATTAGAGTATAAAGGTGCGTCTACGGTATGTCGTCATTAGAGTATAAAGGTGCGTCTACGGTATGTCGTCATTAGAGTATAAAGGTGCGTCTACGGTATGTCGTCATTAGAGTATAAAGGTGCGTCTACGGTATGTCGTCATTAGAGTATAAAGGTGCGTCTACGGTATATCGTCATTAGAGTATAAAGGTGCGTCTACGGTATATCGTCATTAGAGTATAAAGGTGCGTCTACAGCAGTGGTTCTCAACTGGTGGGTCCCGTTTCGAGTGGGTCGCGGATGTGTGAGTGAAGAAAAAAAAGTTAAAAAACAAAAAATTGGAATTTTTTTTTTTTTTTGGGGGGGAAAAAGTCAAACTTATTTTGAAGGCCCGCTAACGCTGTGCATGCAGTCGGCGTTGGACAGGAAGTACCGGAGACCATAAACGGTTTTGAAAACTTCTGTCACGTAGTGATCATCTTCTCAATAAAACATCTTTGCTGATGTTTTTTCGAGTCTTCTGGCCAATCAGAATCAAGATGGTTGCCGGAAGTCCCCACGGAGAATAACTTTGCGGTAGAACTCTTCTTTATACATCCATGGGTACAACTTCAGATACAAATGAACACATAATGAAATATGACCCCCGGTTTGATGATTGACAGGTCACAGAACAATGGGAGCTATCTACCCTTACCCACAATTTAAAGTAAGTCACAGACTATCTCCTCTTCTCGCAGCAAGATGTCAGAACAAAGTGAAAAACAAACAATGGCATAAAATATTATTAATATGTCGGGTAGAAATAGATTTATTTATTTTCTTCTCAGAGTGTACCAGAATGCGTAGTTTATGTTAGTATTTCTAAAAATCTCCTGGGGGAGAATCCCCCCAGACCCCCTGCTGGGGTTGGGTTTTCAGCATGTGTGCCTTTTTATATAGTTCAGCTTTGATTCCATCATCTCATTAAACCTTGTTTAAAAGCATACTTTAGTTCTGTGAAGGGATATAAGGGATATATGCACTAGGGATGCCAGCGATTATTCGAATATTCGTTACAGTCTCCATAATCGAAGATTATTTTTAAAATTTGATTTTATTTATATATTTTTTTATTAATATTTATGTTTTTCTTTTTCTTTTTTCTGGTTTGGTTTCAACCAAAATATATACTAATGCTAATAATAGTAATAGTATTAATAATTGTAAATGACCATTAATCACACCACCAGTTTGTTTTACTGTAAACTTGGAGGAAGCCAGCTGCTGCAGCCTGCTACACACCGACCCCCCCCCCCCCCCCCCCCCCTCCCTCTCCGTCACACGTGCGATTGATTTATTGGTGACAGAACAGTGAGAACACAACTAAAGATGAACAGAGCGGCACGTCCACAGAAGAGTGGAACTACTTCGAACTGACAAGTGCAAATGAAGTCAAATGCAAGCTCTGCGAAAATACTTTTTTTTTTCTCTCCCGCGGGGGGGGGGGGGGGGTCGAATAATCGATTAATATTCGCCAGAGCTGTCCGATTTTCGATTTTGATCATGGTCAGTTTCTGGCATCCCTAATATGCACTGTACTTCACTTTTATTAATATTGTATGCTCAAAAGCGTATATATTACTGCACGATTTTTTGTTGAATAGATTTAAGTGCTTCAAAATGTTGGGTCGCGATGTATTGACCAAGTAAAAAGTGGGTCCCGAGGCCTGACCAGTTGAGAACCACTGGTCTACAGTATATCGTTATTAGAGTATAAAGGTGTGTCTACGGTATATCGTTATTAGAGTATAAAGGTGTGTCTATGGTATATCGTTATTAGAGTATAAAGGTGTGTCTATGGTATATCGTTATTAGAGTATAAAGGTGTGTGTATAGGGTTGCAAAGGGGCGGAACATTTCCGGAAAGTTTCCATGGGAAGTTAAGCTGGGGAATTTTGGAAATATTCGATGCAAAATTAAACAAAAAACATGACATTTCAACAGATTTAAAAAAAAAAAGTAGAACAGAACAAGTTTTAATTATTTTATTGAACAATTATTTGTTTCATTGAAGAACAAAAACAGGAATGTTGAGTTAAATGTTACTCATCCCCCCCAACCCCACTCCAGTCCCATTCAAAATGTGAAATGAAAAGAGCCCCTCTCCCTCCAAAGAGCCCCTCTCCCTCCAAAGAGCCCCTCTCCCTCCAAGTCCCATTAAACATGCAAATCTTCCTTCAAGCGGTCCTCTGCATTTTGGCTAAACCCTTTCAGTCAACGGGCTCTTCCTGGGCCTCATCAACATCACACTCTTCCTCTTCCTGGGCCTCATCAACGTCACACTCTTCCTCTTCCTGGGCCTCATCAACGTCACACTCTTCCTCTTCCTGGGCCTCATCAACGTCACACTCTTCCTCTTCCTGGGCCTCATCAACGTCACACTCTTCCTCTTCCTGGGCCTCATCAACGTCACACTCTTCCTCTTCCTGCGCCTCATCAACGTCACACTCTTCCTCTTCCTGGGCCTCATCAACGTCACACTCTTCCTCTTCCTGGGCCTCATCAACGTCACACTCTTCCTCTTCCTGGGCCTCATCAACGTCACACTCTTCCTCTTCCTGGGCCTCATCAACGTCACACTCTTCCTCTTCCTGGGCCTCATCAACGTCACACTCTTCCTCTTCCTGGGCCTCATCAACGTCACACTCTTCCTCTTCCTGGGCCTCATCAACATCACACTCTTCCTCTTCCTCTTCACTGTCTGTGTCCGGCTCAGAGAGCCTTAGGTTTGCCCGAATGCCAACCAGTTGTTCCACTCTCACATTAGTGAGCCTGTTGCGACCCTTTGTGTGGTCTCAATAGCCATGCAGTAAGCAGTGTGCTATGGCGTGGATATTCAAGTGTACTTGAATGGCATCTGTTTGTTTTAGTCAAGATTATGCTAAAATATACTTTCCCCAACTATATTTAAGTTCCCTACGAAGAGCCAACCTTACATTTAGAAAATTCCCACTTTATTCCCATGGAAAGTTTCCATCTTTGAAAATTCCCGGAATGTTGCAACCCTAGGTGTGTATAATGTAATCAGAGTATAATGTGTGTATAATGTTATCAGAGTATAATATGTGTATAATGTAATCAGAGTATAATGTAATCAGAGTATAATGTAATCAGAGTATAAGGTGTGTATAATGTAATCAGAGTATAATGTGTGTATAATGTAATCAGAGTATAATGTGTGTATAATGTTATCAGAGTATAATGTGTGTATAATGTTATCAGAGTATAATGTGTGTATAATGTAATCAGAGTATAATGTGTGTATAATGTGATCAGAGTATAATGTGTGTATAATGTGATCAGAGTATAATGTGTGTATAATGTAATCAGAGTATAATGTAATCAGAGTATAATGTGTGTATAATGTTATCAGAGTATAATGTGTGTATAATGTTATCAGAGTATAATGTGTGTATAATGTTATCAGAGTATAATGTGTGTATAATGTAATCAGAGTATAATGTAATCAGAGTATAATGTGTGTATAATGTGATCAGAGTATAATGTGTGTATAATGTAATCAGAGTATAATGTGTGTATAATGTGATCAGAGTATAATGTGTGTATAATGTGATCAGAGTATAATGTGTGTATAATGTGTGTATAATGTGATCAGAGTATAATGTGTGTATAATGTGATCAGAGTATAATGTGTGTATAATGTGATCAGAGTATAATGTGTGTATAATGTGATCAGAGTATAATGTGTGTATAATGTGATCAGAGTATAATGTGTGTATAATGTGATCAGAGTATAATGTGTGTATAATGTGATCAGAGTATAATGTAATCAGAGTATAATGTGTGTATAATGTAATCAGAGTATAATGTGTGTATAATGTTATCAGAGTATAATGTGTGTATAATGTTATCAGAGTATAATGTGTGTATAATGTTATCAGAGTATAATGTGTGTATAATGTTATCAGAGTATAATGTGTGTATAATGTTATCAGAGTATAATGTGTGTATAATGTAATCAGAGTATAATGTGTGTATAATGTAATCAGAGTATAATGTGTGTATAATGTAATCAGAGTATAATGTGTGTATAATGTAATCAGAGTATAATGTGTGTATAATGTAATCAGAGTATAATGTGTGTATAATGTTATCAGAGTATAATGTGTGTATAATGTTATCAGAGTATAATGTGTGTATAATGTTATCAGAGTATAATGTGTGTATAATGTTATCAGAGTATAATGTGTGTATAATGTTATCAGAGTATAATGTGTGTATAATGTTATCAGAGTATAATGTGTGTATAATGTGATCAGAGTATAATGTGTGTATAATGTGATCAGAGTATAATGTGTGTATAATGTGATCAGAGTATAATGTGTGTATAATGTGATCAGAGTATAATGTGTGTATAATGTGATCAGAGTATAATGTGTGTATAATGTATCAGGAGTATAATGTGTGTATAATGTAATCAGAGTATAATGTGTGTATAATGTGATCAGAGTATAATGTGTGTATAATGTGATCAGAGTATAATGTGTGTATAATGTGATCAGAGTATAATGTGTGTATAATGTGTGTATAATGTAATCAGAGTATAATGTGTGTATAATGTGTGTATAATGTAATCAGAGTATAATGTGTGTATAATGTGATCAGAGTATAATGTGATCAGAGTATAATGTGTGTATAATGTAATCAGAGTATAATGTGTGTATAATGTGTGTATAATGTAATCAGAGTATAATGTGTGTATAATGTGATCAGAGTATAATGTGTGTATAATGTAATCAGAGTATAATGTGTGTATAATGTAATCAGAGTATAATGTGTGTATAATGTAATCAGAGTATAATGTGTGTATAATGTAATCAGAGTATAATGTGTGTATAATGTGATCAGAGTATAATGTGTGTATAATGTGATCAGAGTATAATGTGTGTATAATGTGATCAGAGTATAATGTGTGTATAATGTGATCAGAGTATAATGTGTGTATAATGTGATCAGAGTATAATGTGTGTATAATGTGATCAGAGTATAATGTGTGTATAATGTGATCAGAGTATAATGTGTGTATAATGTGATCAGAGTATAATGTGATCAGAGTATAATGTGTGTATAATGTGTGTATAATGTTATCAGAGTATAATGTGTGTATAATGTAATCAGAGTATAATGTGATCAGAGTATAATGTGTGTATAATGTGTGTATAATGTTATCAGAGTATAATGTGTGTATAATGTGATCAGAGTATAATGTGATCAGAGTATAATGTGTGTATAATGTGATCAGAGTATAATGTGATCAGAGTATAATGTGTGTATAATGTGATCAGAGTATAATGTGATCAGAGTATAATGTGATCAGAGTATAATGTGTGTATAATGTGATCAGAGTATAATGTGTGTATAATGTGATCAGAGTATAATGTGATCAGAGTATAATGTAATCAGAGTATAATGTGTGTATAATGTGATCAGAGTATAATGTGTGTATAATGTGATCAGAGTATAATGTGTGTATAATGTGTGTATAATGTGATCAGAGTATAATGTGATCAGAGTATAATGTAATCAGAGTATAATGTGTGTATAATGTGTGTATAATGTAATCAGAGTATAATGTGTGTATAATGTGATCAGAGTATAATGTGTGTATAATGTGATCAGAGTATAATGTGTGTATAATGTGATCAGAGTATAATGTGATCAGAGTATAATGTGTGTATAATGTGTGTATAATGTGATCAGAGTATAATGTGTGTATAATGTGATCAGAGTATAATGTGTGTATAATGTGATCAGAGTATAATGTGATCAGAGTATAATGTGTGTATTCTGACCCTCAGGCAGCTGGACTGCCTCCGGCAGCTCGTGGTGGTTCTCTGTGAACGCTCTCAGCTCCAGGACTTGGTCCACTTCTCCTACGTCAACCTGCACGACGAGGTACGCTCACTTTGAACTATTCACATCTCACTTTGAACTATTCACATCTCACTTTGAACTATTCACATCTCACTTTGAACTATTCACATCTCTCTTTGAACTATTCACATCACACTTTGAACTATTCACACTTTGAACTATTCACATCTCTCTTTGAACTATTCACACTTTGAACTATTCACATCTCTCTTTGAACTATTCACATCACACTTTGAACTATTCACACTTTGAACTATTCACACCTCTCTTTGAACTATTCACATCTCTCTTTGAACTATTCACATCTCACTTTGAACTATTCACACTTTGAACTATTCACACCTCTCTTTGAACTATTCACACCTCTCTTTGAACTATTCACATCTCTCTTTGAATTATTCACATCTCTCTTTGAACTATTCACATCACACTTTGAACTATTCACATCTCACTTTGAACTATTCACACTTTGAACTATTCACATCTCTCTTTGAACTATTCACATCTCTCTTTGAACTATTCACATCTCTCTTTGAACTATTCACATCTCTCTTTGAACTATTCACATCTCACTTTGAACTATTCACATCTCTCTTTGAACTATTCACATCTCACTTTGAACTATTCACATCTCTCTTTGAACTATTCACATCTCACTTTGAACTATTCACACTTTGAACTATTCACATCAAACTTTGAACTATTCACATCTCTCTTTGAACTATTCACATCACACTTTGAACTATTCACATCTCTCTTTGAACTATTCACATCTATCTTTGAACTATTCACATCTCACTTTTGAACTATTCACATCAAACTTTGAACTATTCACATCTCACTTTGAACTATTCACATCTCTCTTTGAACTATTCACATCTCACTTTGAACTATTCACATCTCTCTTTGAACTATTCACATCTCACTTTGAACTATTCACATCTCACATTGAACTATTCACACTTTGAACTATTCACATCTCACTTTGAACTATTCACACTTTGAACTATTCACATCTCTCTTTGAACTATTCACATCTCACTTTGAACTATTCACACTTTGAACTATTCACATCTCTCTTTGAACTATTCACATCTCACTTTGAACTATTCACATCTCACTTTGAACTATTCACATCTCACTTTGAACTATTCACATCTCACTTTGAACTATTCACATCTCTCTTTGAACTATTCACATCTCTCTTTGAACTATTCACATCTCACTTTGAACTATTCACATCTCTCTTTGAACTATTCACATCTCACATTGAACTATTCACACTTTGAACTATTCACATCTCACTTTGAACTATTCACACTTTGAACTATTCACATCTCTCTTTGAACTATTCACATCTCACTTTGAACTATTCACATCTCTCTTTGAACTATTCACATCTCTCTTTGAACTATTCACATCTCACTTGAACTATCACATCTCTCTTTGAACTATTCACATCTCACTTTGAACTATTCACATCTCACTTTGAACTATTCACATCTCTCTTTGAACTATTCACACTTTGAACTATTCACATCTCACTTTGAACTATTCACACTTTGAACTATTCACATCTCACTTTGAACTATTCACATCTCACTTTGAACTATTCACATCTCTCTTTGAACTATTCACATCTCACTTTGAACTATTCACATCTCACTTTGAACTATTCACACTTTGAACTATTCACATCTCACTTTGAACTATTCACATCTCTCTTTGAACTATTCACATCTCACTTTGAACTATTCACTCTTTGAACTATTCACATCTCACTTTGAACTATTCACATCTCACTTTGAACTATTCACACTTTGAACTATTCACATCTCACTTTGAACTATTCACATCTCTCTTTGAACTATTCACATCTCTCTTTGAACTATTCACACTTTGAACTATTCACATCTCACTTTGAACTATTCACATCTCTCTTTGAACTATTCACATCTCACTTTGAACTATTCACATCTCACTTTGAACTATTCACATCTCACTTTGAACTATTCACATCTCACTTTGAACTATTCACACATCTATCTTTGAACTATTCACATCTCACTTTGAACTATTCACATCTCACTTTGAACTATTCACACTTTGAACTATTCACATCTCACTTTGAACTATTCACATCTCTCTTTGAACTATTCACATCTCACTTTGAACTATTCACATCTCTCTTTGAACTATTCACATCACACTTTGAACTATTCACACTTTGAACTATTCACATCTCACTTTGAACTATTCACACTTTGAACTATTCACATCTCACTTTGAACTATTCACATCTCTCTTTGAACTATTCACATCTCACTTTGAACTATTCACTCTTTGAACTATTCACATCTCACTTTGAACTATTCACATCTCACTTTGAACTATTCACACTTTGAACTATTCACATCTCTCTTTGAACTATTCACATCTCACTTTGAACTATTCACATCTCTCGTGAACTATTCACATCTCTCCTTTGAACTATTCACATCTCACTTTGAACTATTCACATCTCACTTTGAACTATTCACATCTCACTTTGAACTATTCACATCTCTCTTTGAACTATTCACATCTCTCTTTGAACTATTCACATCTCACTTTGAACTATTCACATCTCTCTTTGAACTATTCACATCTCACATTGAACTATTCACACTTTGAACTATTCACATCTCACTTTGAACTATTCACACTTTGAACTATTCACATCTCTCTTTGAACTATTCACATCTCACTTTGAACTATTCACATCTCTCTTTGAACTATTCACATCTCACTTTGAACTATTCACATCTCTCTTTGAACTATTCACATCTCACTTTGAACTATTCACATCTCACTTTGACTATTACATCTCTCTTGACTATTCACATCACACTTTGAACTATTCACACTTTGAACTATTCACATCTCACTTTGAACTATTCACACTTTGAACTATTCACATCTCACTTTGAACTATTCACATCTCTCTTTGAACTATTCACATCTCACTTTGAACTATTCACATCTCACTTTGAACTATTCACACTTTGAACTATTCACATCTCACTTTGAACTATTCACATCTCTCTTTGAACTATTCACATCTCACTTT